ATGAGTATATATCTTTCTCTTTTTCTCTCTTATGCGGATGGCTTTACCTGTGAAGGTTAAGTAGGATTACCATATTGATCTGTTAGGAGTACTAGAGGGGAATAATAGACTAATGCGTGATATGCAAAACTCTCCCTCGGGTTTTACTGTTTCAGAAATAATTATATCCCTGGATTACTACTATGTAGAAGCTACTGTTGTGTTGACACCTCTATTATTTGAACACTGTAACTGTTGAGGAAGTAGAAATATCATGTAATGTCATCATATGAAACATACCTGGGTGTATGTACTATTAATATATGGAGGGTACTAATATGCTTCTTAAGTAGTTATTTGAAGAAAAAGGGCACGCTTAGGGTACCATTATTTATAGGCTAGTAATATCCCCTTATAACGCCGCGGTATCATTGGGATCTATGGTTATACTATTATGTCAAGAAACTTGATGTCTTTGTAGTCGCGTATGTAAACCATCTCCTGATGTAGGCTTCTATTATATGAAGAGTAATATTTAGCGGAGTACAGGAATATCCCAGGAGAATTATTGCCTGAAAAGTACTAATGTGTATGTATTCTCATTGGTGAAGATTGCGGAAGTTCCCGTGGTACTGTTATATGAATGTACTAATGGATGAACTATAGTGATATTTCCAGAGTACTTTTGCCTGTAGGACACTGTGGCATAAGAATAATGGATTATCTGCAGCTATATACTATGAGTCATCTCACGTGTGGGTAGTATTCTTATTTACAAGGAACAGTTGTTCAATGATAATGCATGTGTCCCATGCACGATTATTTGAAGGGCTTCACTATACACAAAGTGCTTTTATATAGGAAGCACTATCCTATTAACCCTAAGAATATATCCACAGTATTATGTAGTGAGCTAAGGGTATGTGCCCCGAATATTACTATGGAGTGAATGAAACATTGGACTTTTCGTTATTTGAATAAAACCATTGTTCATACTGCACTGATGTCTTGTCATTAGCTTTACCTTATTTTTGAGGGGGTTAAGATCCCAGCTGTATTATAAGGACATCACAGTTTTACCAAATTCTGTGTTGTATCTGCAGGAGCATTCTTTGAGGAGAATCGGTATCCTAAGAGTAGTATTATACGAACACTAATGTCCTCCCTGGAATATCATTGGTGTTGATAACATTAATGTTACGAGAATAGATTTAACAGGAAGATACGAATATCCATAACATAAAGACCACTTATCATTTTAGGAAGGGGAGAAAGAAAGAATGAAGTAGAAGCAATGGCCAAAATGAAGTTTATACATTGAAGGTACTGCCACATAGGACAGAATTCTTCATTTCAAGGGAAAAATAAATATATAGGATAGAACCATATAACAGACTTATGGGTATCAGCACATAAAAACATGGGGCTGAGAAGACACCTGCAAAGCAAAATTAGCACCATATAACCGAAAGGGACAAAGTTAACATAACAAATAAGAGTAACTAAAGCAATGTTGACAAAGGAGGAATGGACCAAGAAGAAGAGAAGCTGGACACGGCAAAGGACACTTACGGGAACATATGAGGTGTGATGTTGACATGGGCCAATACTGCATCAAATAAGAGAGGAATTGATTTCCAACTTTGATGTCACAGAATACACGCGATTATTCACAATTAGCACGAGAAATATATATAAGTACGAAATTTCTTACCTATATTAATTGGTGTTCTAAATTTTTTCCTATCTGTATTGAGCGTTATGTCTTGAATTACAAACTCTACAATTCGGTCTCTTGCTCTACGATGTAATATCCTATGATATCCTTTGTGATGCTAAACATAAAAATATAGAATTGTTTAAAATAAATTTATTTCTTCCTTGAAGTTTTAGAAACTTGCTTAGAACCTATTTTGTTTATGTGAAGATATAACACACTTTCTGATGTAAATTCTGGAGGGGTTAAAACAATCAGTTTGTCTACGCTTAGTGTAAAGGTGTCACTTTTTGTCGTATCCCAAATCATAATCCTACCATCTCTATTTTAACTGCCTGGGTCACTACTGGTCAAAGGTCTAACTTGAGAGTTATCTTGTTACCTGTATATTCTGTGTTGGCCTGATTACGAATATAAGGATTCCAATTCTTTGGATCGCCTTACTCATATGGCTCTGCTTCTACTTTTTCCTCTTCCTTTGGTGATTATAAGCCAAGTGGCTATGAAAATAATTTCTTAAGTTCAAAGACTCCACCAAATTCTCTTTAGATATAATACAATTTTAGCGATAAAGAAACTCATTAAGAATGATTCCATCACATCCTCCACGCTTTTACTAATCTAATCTGTCGCAAAGTTGCGGCAGAGTATTATATATAACTCCACGATTGATGATCTATCAATCGCACTTAACTCATTTTGTTAAAAAGATATGCCAGAAAAGGACAAAGTGATCTCTCATTTTACCAACCACGGCGCTGGGTTAGAATGAGAGATCAGGAAATTAACAAATATTCTTACGAAAGAACAAACTTTAGACAGGAAAGTACAAAAAACAGGCCCAACCAAAAATACAAGGACATCTAGGAGTGAAAATTCTACAAATAAGTCTTCAAGGAGACAGCCGACAAGTGAATAGCAAGATTGACAAATTTACGACAATTAGGAAAACTTTAACCCAGGTGCCCAAATTCTACTGTAGACAAATACTATGCAATCTTAAGACATTATTGACCAGTAAAATAAACTTTTCACTGAATCTAATCAACAACCGGAGATATAATACATTAATTACAGGGTTTTAACCAAAGGGTCCTACCCCAAAAAAACAATATGTTAACGCCTAACCCAAATACCTCCTAATCCTAAATTTATTGTAAAACTCCCCCAAGATACAAACCATATTAAGCAACAACCTCAACCATAAGTTTTATGATGATAGACGGAAAAATTTAAAGATAAAGGATAAATTAAATTGTCTTAACTCTTCCAGGGTGTTATTAGACACCAGACAGACTAACTCCTATCCATTGCTTAATCATTTTTAGATTCAACCATAAGTAACCCTACCCTTAGAAAATATTCAGGCAACTTAACCGAAACAAGACATCACTTATCGTGTCCTACCCCCCCAAAGGACAATATAAAAATCACTAACATAGGAACCAAAGGAAGTTTTAATGAGGAGCACTAAAGTATCTCATCTCATCCAAATATCAGTCAGTTGCAAAATCCTCTAAGCAGACTCCAACGAAGCTATCCTTATTAATATAATCTTTATGCCTTCAAAAATAACAAGATCAAAGAAATAATAAGAAAAATAAGGGTATCTTTCTCTATCACAAATATAAAACCCGATAAAAGCTCTAATATATTTAAAACCTGATCTCTTTCCCAGGGAAACAACAAGTATAAACTTAAAATGTTTTTCCAACAGAGGAATCTATGAATTATCTGCTTCAAGTAATAGCAAACCAATTAACAACTCTCTCCTCATCATAGAAACTCTCTTTCTGAGGTATCAGACAATCCCGGTGTCATAGGAGGAACATAACTCCCCCCCCGTATTTCTCATGAATGCCAGAAGACAAAGTCCCCGTGGCTTTACCACGCAAGGACAAGTCCTGCTAACCGTAGTGGAGAAACATGTTCTTTCGAGTGATTTCTTTATAAAGGACTCCACTGATAAGAACCTTTGAACTCCCAGAATCCAAAACCAAATCCTGGGAGCGAAGAAGAAAGTCCGAAGCAATCCAACCCCGACTCCAACTAATATAAAACCAAAACAAAAAGAAGGATTAAACAATCCTTTTACCTAAAGAGAAAAGAACCATCAGTTCGAAGTATAAAAATTCTTAGCCAAGCAGAACTAGGAAATCGGAAATCTTCGACAAAACTGCAAAGAAAAATCCCTCCCATACCCGAAATTACTCAATTACCCAATAATGAATACAGCCACCAAACTAACTAAATCTAACACATTCGTTACCCAAACAGGAGGCCAAGATACCGGAAAACAATCCCCACAGATCTGCAGTCGCACATCCCAGTAGCGAAAAACCTGTCTCCTGTTCGTCTAGCTAAAAGCTCTCAGAGGGACTAAACAGAATAACGAACAGCAGACAAATTCCACAGCTCGAAATCTAAAAAACACCACGAAGAAAACCCAACTCGAAAAGTCCAAACAGAGAGGGAACCGAAGCACAAAATGGGCAAGAGTCCCGAACTTCAAAAAACCCTGAACAGGAAAAATCCTATTAAGTCTCAGGATGCGGCCGAAAGACTGCCGGCCCGGCCGAAACAGAAAAAAAAAAAAAAACTGCCTGAGACAGAAAGGAAAGAAATCAAAAGAGTCAAGGCACATCGAAAAGCAACAATAAGAAATTAGAAATCACAGGGCATTGAGAAAAAGACAGGACTCCCCAGAAACAGCAACCCAAATCTAACAAAAGCAGAACGGAACGAAAGGGCGCAGAACAGGAAAAAGGCACCTTTCAAATCGAAGCTGCAATAAACGAAATTCCAAATCACCGCAAAGCTCAAAAAACACAAATAGGAGGAGTAACGAAATCACAGAGAAAAATCCAACCAAAAGAAAGCACTCCCAAATTTCCCCCAACTTCAGTCTTCGAACCTCAGAATAGGTAAAAGTCAAAATTCCGAACAGACCCCCCCAGTTAGACGACTCAAGAAAAAGATAGACGCGGACCAGCAGATATCGAGGAGATAATCGGAACCCTAGGGAATCTAGAATTTCGGAGAAACTAACCAAAAGCAAAGAGCACAGGGCCTATCAGAGGCAGGGACGTCACTCCACACCCCAGCAGACCGCAAGTAGGAGCTAAGACAACCTTAAAGAGGGACACAATAACTCCACCCAAAACCAAGCAGCCTGAAGACAACAAGATACGGTTAGACAATTCAGAGAATCCGGGAATAGGATACGAAGTCCAAAAGCAACAGCTAGCCGGAACCATGAGAAAATAAGGCAGGTAAGCAGAAAAGAAGAAAGAAACCACAGCCAATGAGGCTAACTCCACCCAGACTGAGAAGACAGACCACATCGAGGAAGAAGAGGGAGCGGAAAAGGACAAGAAGAAAGGGGGACCCCCAGGGACAGCACATAATGGGCAAGAGTGGCAGGACGAAATTAACCGCAGAACAAAACAGCCAAAAGATCCCCGACAGAATAGAAACAGGGACGTAAGAGAACCCCGACAGGAGGCACACCAAGGATCGACCCAGAGTATCCGAAAGCAATAATCAAATAAAAAGGGAGGTTGTGAAATAGAGACGTCATACTAAAGACACATCCGTACCAGCAGGGCAGTGAACCGAACCCCCAAGGGGACACCCCAACAGCAACCCCCGGAACCCCAGGGCGGTTCCAACACGGAACAGCACCAAGAAACCCCAAGGAAAAAGATCGCTTAGACGTCTGACCAACTTCAGGTTTCGACCCCTGACAGGACGAGGCACGCAACAACCGCCGAGAAAAGGAGCAACCGAATGTACAACCCCAGGGGAGACAAGGAGCATTCAAAAAAGAGCGAGACAAAGGAAGCCAGGATTAGACGGACCGTCATAACAAGTATCGGAGGCACAACCGAACAAAGAGACCAACAAACGGCCGGGTCCGGATAACGGGGGCAGTCGAGAGGGATCCGAGGACGAGCCCAACAGGACGGATCAAATGCCGAAACCGAAAAATTAAGGGCCCAAGCGCCCGAGCCGCAAACAACCGAGTCCAAAGAGGATCATAGAGGTTAAGTGGGAGAGGGAGTGGACCCAACTAGCGGCAAACGGCAAGGAAACCCGAGGGGAGCCCGAAACAGAGGATTAACGGGCAGATAACCCGCATCTCAAGGGGAAAGCTGAAGAGAAGGAACCAGCGGAGGATGTGAACGAGGGGCGCTGAGGTAGGAGGGAGGGAGCAGGGAAGCAGCAAGATCGGCAATGAACAGGATCCAGGGATCCAACCGGCGTCTAGAAGAATACGCCAGGAGGAATAAGACTATGAACCAACTCCGGGACGCAACTCCAAGGGAGAGCCGAGGAAGCAGAAAGCCAAAGAGACTCCCAAGGGACCGTAGCGGGAGAACCCCCCAGACAAGGACATCAGGAGCAACCAAAACTAAAAGGTGGAAGGTCACAGAAACTGAAGCAATCCGAGCCAGCGAAGAAGTCGAGAGAAATACCAGACCGAGACAAACAGAAGCAATCTCCGTCAGGAACAACTTCAGGAGGAGGGAGCTCGGAGGAGTAGGGGCAACCAATCAAAGAAGGAGGAGTTCCGAAGCCGGAGGGAGGATGAGAAGGATGACAATCGTCAAGGGAGCCGCAGGGGTTAATCAGTAAGAAAAGGCAAGGGGCAGGCCAACGAGGAGCAGGGCAGGAAACTTCGAAGGGGCACGGGCCGGAGGGAGCAAGGAACAAGCCGAAGAAGGACGAGGTCCGGGAACCCCAGGACGCCAGGCCCAGTCAGGGGCGAAGATGGATGTTGAGGAGAAAGATGCCGAAGGGAGTGAGGACAGACTCCATTAAGCAGGAGAAAGCGTAGAGGACACACCAAAAGAAAGAAAGTAGGAGAAGGAGCCGATACAACCTCAAGCGAGAGGGGGAAAAGTCAAGAGGGGGGAAGGGGAGGAATAGGAAAAAAAAGGAGCAATAGGAGGTGACGAGAAGCCAAAGCGCAAGGAGAAGCAGGCAACTGGGCCAAACCAAGTCAGGGGGACCAGCCCCGAGGATCCAAGGCAGTAGGAATAGCAGCCGAGCGCCAGGAGCCATCCACGGAGGCAGGGAGGGAGGACATAAATGCAGAAAGAGGAGAAGGTAGATGACGGACCACTCCAGAACAGAAAGAGGAGGCGATGAGGACAAAGATGGGGGAGGAGAAGGGGAGGTACAAGTCCGTAGAGAGCAGGGCCAGAAAAATGACGGGCAGGAACAAAGAACGTCTGTAGCTGAGGAAGATAAGAAGGAGAGGAGAGGAGGGAGCAAAACCACAAGGAGACAGGATAGGCCCCTTCCTCCAGCCAGGCGGAAAAAGAAGGGGGGGGAGTAACAATCGTAAAGGACAAGACGCCACCGAAGCGGAGAAGAAGCAAGGGCAAGACAACAATCGAAAGGGGGGGAGGCAGGAGGGAAGTTGAGGGGAGGGGAGAATATCCCTCCGGCATATCAGGGCCTAGGGGACAAGATCCAACAGCTCCAGGACAAGCGCTAGTTGCATTTGAAGAAGGAGAAGTTGAGAGACAAATCCATGAACGAGAAGAATGCTAGAGAGAGATGAAAAGAGGAACCCCCGCGCCCAGAAGAAGGGATACGAAATAGCCAACTAAACAAGGGGCAACAGGATTATAAGACCGAACAGAACAAGAATACGTTAAGAAATGAGCAGTTTAAAGAAATATATGAAGTCACTGGGGTTGCATTTCTCCAGGGAGCGCGCAGAGCCAGGGGCAACGAAGGTAAGGCTAAGGATAGTGGGAGAAAGAGGTAGGGCGACGCCAGGCCACGACACAACCGGTCTGACCAGATGGGACCAAATAAGAGCCGGAGAGGGGAGCGAACATATTCTGGCGGGAAGATACGCGTGGATCCTCTGTCGGAGTTTAGAGGCCTGGATGGCAAATTTGCAAAGAGGGTCAGGTACCGAAGAGGAGTTAACCGAAGGAGCGTGCACCCCAAGGGAGGCAGGGACAATAGCAGGAACGAGAAATTGGAACTTATGCCCCCTCAGGGGCCAGCTAGAGTATTGGACCCATTATGGCATGGACAGGAAATTAGATTTCGGCAAAGGCGAGGATAGAAGCTTCATAACATGTGTGGACATAATCTCCATGATGATCACCGTCATGAATGATATAGCCGAAGGGAAAAAGGGTTGGCAAGTAGGAAACACAGAACAGGATCCTTGCAGGACCCTATTCACATGGTATGAGGAATGGGCGGATAACGACACAGCAAAACGCGTCATGAACTTCCTGTTTCCTAGTAGTGGAGAAATGAGGACAAACGAAGGAATCATCAGAAGGGAACAAAGCCAGGAACAGAACTTCTGGGCCCAGTTATTGACGGGAGCCTTCCTGAAAGTCGTCGGACTTCAATGTAGTAAGGACAGGAGCAAGGACGAGTGGACCACTAGTTGTCTCCGGCTACGGGAAGATCACAGCTGCCAAGCCGAGCCGTCTCGACGGGACTACGAAGCCTGGGCCAACGAGGTAAGGAGAGCCGTCACTACCAAGGGCGACGACAAAAAAGAGGGGGCTACCAGAATAGGCAGAGGTCACGGGGGGAGGGGGGGAAAGAATAGGCCAAGAGACTCGAGAAATCGCGCACGTTGAGAGGGGTAAGGCTTGCAACCCTCCCCCCAGGAACGAGGAACCCCAGGAATTGAGCCCGAAGGAAGGAACAATAACCCCACCCCTAAATCCGTCAGCAGAGGCCCCTCAACCGGAGGAATTAGAAGCGCCTCCGGGACTGAGGCAGAGCGTGAGGCACCACGTTATTAACATCCAGGGGGGAGAAGGTTAGAACAACAACTCATCCCCCCGGTTGAGCAGAAGGTCGACACCAACTTCGACACAGTCGGGGCATTAATGGCAAACTCCTAACGAATATGGTTCGTATTTAAATCTAATAGGCGGAACAGTTCCGGGGAAAAATGGAGAGGCAGAGGCAAACCCTGATCAACGAGATCGAACAGAACGAAGCCCAATATCAGGCAAGTATGGGGACCCACAACGAACAGAAGACGCAACTTATCGTGAAAGGAGTAACAGGAACAGCGGTGACTGCCGTGTTTATTCCATTTGCTTGGTACATCTGGAGGCGAATCTTTAGAGGAGGAACAGGCAAAAGGGCACCTGAAGTGATTCGGGTAACTTATGCTTAAAACCCGAAAGAAGCAAGCAACAAACCCAAAGAACGCCTCGAAAGCCGGAGCAAAAGAAGCTAATCACATGACAGGCAGAAGACGCAAAAGAGACACCCGCAGCATAAACGGCGCCCCTAGGGGCAAAGGATTTCGGACCCCAGACACTGGAAGGAGAATCCAACAACCTACCCAAATATCTAAGAACAAGTGAAACACCAAAAAAGCCTAAACAATGATCCCACAAAGGACCGCGGACAAATCCTCAAAGAAGAAAACCCCCTCCACCGCAGTTCACCTGGACAGGGACCGGGGGGACGGATAGGCTTCCCCCGAAAATGGAGGGGGAAGTTGATCATGTAGATATTATTCCTGGAAAAGGAACAGCTCATCCTCATGAGAGGGTAGTTCACCATCCCCGGCGGAAAAAGCGAGATCGACACCAACAGGCGAGAAGCATAAAGGAGGCGGGCATACAAAAGGAGGGATAGGGGGGAAGGGGCCCTGGGGTTCTTCCATTACAACAATAGGAAAAAGTCCAGGGCTATAGGGAGCAGGAGAAAGGCGCCTAAGAGCATCATAGGACTGGATAGGGGGGAGGTCGGGGAAGGGGGGCGTTGTAACAGCAGTGGTTACTCGTTTGGGCAGTTGGGAGGTGATGAGGCAAAGGACTTTAGGATTCGGGTTTAAGATTTGCGTCTGGGGCTGAGGATTAACCATCTGCAGATACAGTACACTATGTCCAGGCTTAATGTAGGGGAGCAGGAACTGAGCCGTTGCTCCTAGAGGTATAGCGTGAGAGGGAACAGGATGGTCGGTAAGATGCGGGGGAGGGGGTTAAGGCTTAGAGTTTAGCGTCTGCAGTTTATGGTTTAGGTTTAGGGTTTGGGATTCATCCTTCAGGGTTTAGGATTCAGTTTTAGATTTAGGTTTGGGCCTCAGGGGGTAGGTTTAGGGTTCGGGGTTTAGGTTTTCGGGTTTAGGTCTAGGGGTGGTGTTTTAGGTTTAGAGTTGAGGGTTTCGTTTTAGGGTTCGGGGACTGAGTTCAGGGTTCCACTGCTCGGGTTAGGTTTAGGGGTTAGGGTTTAGTTTTAAGGTTCGGACTGTTAAGGCCCAGGGTTCAGGCTTCTGGGTTAGGGTTCAGGTTTTATGATTTAGGGGTTAGGGTTTAGTGGGATAGTGTTTAGCTGTTGAGGGGGTAGCCTTGTAGGGTTAGGCTTTAGGGCTTAAGGGTTAGTGTGTAGGGTTTAGGGTTCAGCGTCTATGGTTTATGATTCAGTGCTTAATTCTTACCCTTAGTTTTCAGGGTATAGCATCTAGTTTTCACCGTCTGGCATCTAGGGTCCATCGCTTGCGGGTTAATGAGCTCAGGCTTTAAGATTATTTGGTTAGTATTGGAATTTTAGGGTACAGTCGTACGGATTAATTTGACGTTTTATTGTTCAGCGTTTCGTTCTCCATACACTCGCTGTTTTTGTAGATTTCAGATTCTCATTTTCATTTTCAAGCATTCATTATCCGCTCTTTATCTGAGGCTCCTATAGTTTAGGGATTGGGCTTTATGGTCTAAACTTCACTGTTCATGAAAATATTCCTATTTTCCCTGATGATGAGTTAGGGTTCCGTGTTATTTTCTTTTTTGCTTCATCTAGTCCTAGGCATAATGTTTTTCCCTATCTTATATGGATGATCCATATTCTGCTTCCTGTTGGCTAAAATTCACTTCTGGCTTAGTTCTGTCTTAACCTAGAGGCCCCGTTACCTAGTCTGACCTGCATCGCTGCTCCCCTATCTTCCATCTGTTGTCATTTCCGGATTCAAGGATCAACTGTTACCCAGGAATTCTGTTTCTTGATTGGCTTCACTCAGGAGTGGTCCTTGGCTTAGTCTCAACAGTTCGAACTAAACCGTTTAGGCTTTAGACTTAGATCTTATACTGTAGTATTTAGGAATTTTAACTTAATCGTCCGTATTTGAATCTGATCTTCAGTTTGTGAATTTTACGCTGTACGGGTTCGTGTTCAGAACCATAGGTTTCAGAGTCCAGGTTTCTTGTGTTGGGGATCAGTGGTATTCTCGTTTCCTTACCTGCAGGTTCCTCCGTATAGATGTACTTTCGCTGGATTCATTTTTACGGGCCAAAGTGCAGTTTTAGGTTTAGGCCTTGGGGTGCTATTTTATTGCAGGAAGCTTTCTAATTAGGGTTTATACTTCACTTTTCTGTTGTCATAGTTCTCTCTTTATCGTCTATGTGTTAGGTTGACAGTAGAATCTTCTGGATTTGGAGGGGCACGATCTAGTTTCTACGCTTTGGAGTTTGGTTTGTCCGCCCGCCTGATAGGGCTTCAGGCTTCAGTGTGTTGTTTCTAGGTTTCACGTTTATATTGCACAGTTATGATCTATCCTTATGGTTGATACTTGTTGAACTTATCTCAGGCTCTACTCCTTAGGACCCGATTCTTTGTGTCTTGGTCCGTATGTTTATTGGTTATGGCTTCCGCCTGTAGGTTTCAGTTTTTATTCCTCAACCTTTAGGGGTTATACTTTAGGCTACAATGTTCAACTCCCCGCTTTATGATTATTGGCTTGGAGTTTAAGCCTCTGTCCTGTTTCGTTAAATCAGGAATTCTAACGTTCATTGGGGTATGTGTATCTTTTATTGTTTAGTGATCATGAAGCTCTTTTTATGTACTTTTGTGTATATCCGGTGCCTAAATGGGGAGGGGTGAGTTCTACGCTGTTGCTGTATCTTGTCATATTCACCCCCTCCCTATCATCATACGTTGTCCATGGCATATCGGGGTACTTGTACGCCTCCCGTGGTTCTTTACGCTTTAGCTTCCTCTTATTATTGCTCATGTCCGTTCTGTATTCTTGTCCTTTCCTCTTTGACTAGCCTTTTGTAATTTAATGGCTCATAGTTTATAGAATAGTTCTAAAGCGTACCTTTGTTTCTGGAGCGTCCATCTGCACTCTTCCCTGTTGAGGCTTGTACTGTACGGATTATTGCAGCGCTGTCTAAACCCCAGCTTCACCTATGCTTTGTCCATGATACGCCTTTGCTTGCTCATTTCTGTCTGTAATTTGCCATCTTGTACTGTCAACTCTGTCCTTCTTAATGTTTAGGATTGATGCTTTATCTCGTATCCTTATGGTTTCATCCCTGAGTTTACAGGGCAGGCTTTATCCTTTACGTGTACGTCCGTATCCTTCTTTTCTATTGCGGGGTTGTTGCTTCTACTTTTTAGTGTTCACCCACATCGTGCGATAAGTAACTGTACACGCCCAAGGTTGACTAATTAGGCCCTATGTGTTTTGGGACCGTTTTCAGGGTTTTATGATCTAGGGTTTAGTGTTTGGGTTTTAGGTTTTGGGGTTTATGCTCCATATTACATGTCTCAGCCTCCACCCTTTATCGGTGATTTTTGTGGTTCAGATTGTACTGGTATCATTTACTCTTTATCCCTACGATTAATTCTTCACATCTGCCGCCTTATTTCGGCAGTCTGATCCTATTTTGTAGCGGGTTAGGCTTAAGATCCCCCGTGGTATCCTGACGTTGTAAGGGTGAAATTTCATGGTCGCGGATTCAGCTTCTCTTTGTACCCCTGAGCTGATACCTTCAGTGTTTACTTCTCCCTGATGAAGTCTACGGTTGTCCTTGCACGCCTTATTTTTACGCTTTATAGTGTAGGTGTACTCTGCATTGCTCAGCTGTAGATGTTAGGGCTTATGCTGCAGGCTGGGGTTTTGTATTTCGTCCTATTATTCTTCAGGGTATCCTCCCGAACTTTTCTACGTTAGGCATCACGTGTAGTAGTTACAGGTATTAATTTGAGGCGCCATCTTTTACTGCTTGTTCTTTATTCTTTAAGGTTTTGATATGTGTTTTATTACTTGTGTTTCAAGGTTGAGCTTCTTTTGTGTTTGATTTATCTTGCAAGCTTTATGGTTAAAGGCTTATCCTTCCTGTTTCTTGTCGTCTCATCAGCCGCTAAAGTCTATACTTTACGTTTAACCATTTAATTCTGTGGGTTTCGGATCTACAGTTTGGACTTTAAGCAACCCCTCACAGGCATCACTGCCCACTCTGTTTCTCCAGGTGTTGTTTGTTCTCCACCGATTTACTTTATTATTTCCTTTCTTTTGTGGTAATCGTCTTCTCTTTGTCTGTCTCTACGCGGCCTCCTTCTACTTTGTCCTTATGGTCGTTTTTTAGGAGTCTGGGAAGATAGAAGAAGAGATATATTCGTAGATTCTCTATTATTCCCCCCATATTCAATATATTTTAAGGATGTTAATATAAGGATACGAAACAGTCAACGCTCAGACTCTGTCTGCCTTCCTTATTGAGATATATAGAGAAGGACAAAAGTCCTACTGATCTAGTCCTATTTAACTGGTTCTTTTATTTTCATCCTTTTCCCATAGGATACATTTGTAGAATGGGGGAGTTATACATGCAACGATGACGCGTCGAATTAGAGAGCACATATTCATATATATTAATGTTAATCCATACTGTTGTAAGATTTCATGCGCATGAGTTTCCTCTCATATTCAAATGTGTATCCTCCTCTTCGTTTATGTCACTAGTGAATTTTTCTTAATCCTATGGATATTATGGGAGGGGTAGGCAACACGTTTGTTCCTTCACGACCCTTTGAAGGTGTTTATTGAAATGTCGCGACACAGGTTAAATGACTTGTATTTAGCACCTGATTTCTTCCTGCCACAAAGAATTCTTACAATGGACATTCGAGTACAGGTGGTTATAGGAGAGTATTGCACAACTTCTCGATCCACTCTTACAGAATATATTTTGTTGGTTTTGAGTTCAACTTGTGTGTTGGAAGCCTTCATTGATCATAGAGAATATATCTATATGTGACATCCATTAAATTATTCCTTGTATTTATCTGAGGCTGATAAAGGTGGCAGTGACAAGTATTATGCTTATTACTGCTATTCAGGCACAAGTGTCATATATTCATACTATGACAGTTCGTATTTTATCTGTCGTCATACAAATCAAAAGCTATCACTCTGATATGAACCCCTTGAAGTACAAACGAAAGGAAGCGGATAGATAGTATAGATGTTGTTATGGCTTCTCTACAAACTGATGTATGAGGCCGTGGCATAATCGGAGAAGATTAATATTGCGGTGTTATCCTATCTATTTTTCTATGTACACAGATCTGAATAGCGCTCATTAGTTGGTGGCATTCCCATAGTTCAGACGGAATTGAGAGATTTTTTACATATACGTACAATATATGCCGATTATAATTTTATCGCGGACAATCCATCGTTTATATCGGAATTGTTAGATTACCTTTCTGTATTAATGTTTTGTGCAGTCTGAATAAACATGCTTTTTCTATAAAATTATATTTACTACTATTATATATTATAGTGTATACCCGCATTGTGGAGACACTATTCGGCTGATTCTTTAGGTGTCAGATCATAGAGGTATCAGTAACTTATTGCTACTACTTCGAAGAGGAAAGCAGATAATTATTCGCAATCTGGCTTTTAACATGTTTATTATTAATTTACAAGAAAATGTGTTCCCAATCTGTGATAAGAATATCTTAAATGTTTTTTATTGGTTGTCATTTTGCTATATTCCCTTGGTATAGCTATCCGTATGCATATGGAGAAAGGCTTCTATGAAAATTAGAAAGAAATTTAGAGGAAGAATGCAACCTTCCTAAGGGAACAAATGGGCGCAGCTACTGTTCAGATAAGAATATAAGAGACAATCAGTGGGTTGAAAGAATCTTCTGGTGTATGTTTGCTTTACTAAAATGGACTCTTCACTATAATAATAGTATATGAGCAGGCATAAGCCTATCTTGTATAATTTCTCCGGTACTTCTTAATTATTTTGTGTATAAACTATTATCCGTCACATTATATAAGGGCAACTGTTGATTATGTATGAAGAATAGTGGCATCCGGCTTAAATGTGATTATTAAAAATTAGGGAGGATAGGCTAAGCGTCTATTAATATATTTTATTTGAGCGCGTTAATGTAATTATTAATCGAAGTATCTATATTTATTTATGAGAGATGTTTATGAATCAGTTCAATCATGCACTGTTGTACTGACATTTTATTATGCATAAGGACAGTATTTCTTCTTTCCACTAAATATCTTCGAGAAAAGTATGAGGCTCTTTATCTAAGCTGAGAACTGACAAAGTCAATATGCATACTGTACGGAGCCGCTACTGTTCCTTAATGTGAAAAAGGATTCTCAAATGAGGAGTAAGACCGTTGGCATATGTATACAGTAAAGTGCGAAATTCTGGTAGTGACTCAAAGATAGGTTTTACTCTAAGAAGTGCATAATATGAAAGAGGATATTCATAATGTTCTATTATGATACAAGACATAAACACTGTATAGATATACATTTGATTTAGAGAAGGAATACGATAAGTATTAATGGACACCATTATGGACCTTCATGTCTGTACTTAGTAATTGTAATATGTAATAATACAATTTTAAGTTGTATGCGTCAGTACCACTGTTTCTATAGTTATATTGGAATCTCATTTTATCTTTTGTATTATGCGTATCGCAGCAAGAATAAGGTTTTGGGGACATATGTGAGGAGTAATGAGGGAATTAGGCATTAAGGAAGACAAGATAAAGAATCTTTACTTTTTAATTTTGAGCCGGATATATGCTCAGAATGGCAGACGATTCGACAGGATTTGGGAATTTCCCTCTAACTTACGCTATAGGAAGTCTATTCAGATATGTTCTATATTAATTGGACGAGAGGGGAAGACAGAGTACCCTGGGCACATGTAGATACTGTTGCTGAGTCTTGCTATAAAAATGTCTTTTCCAAGATAGATGCAGAATAATTACAGAGGCATAGTCACAAATATTTAGTCCCGTTATATGGAGTTAAACAGTAGATTGGGGTTCACTGAATGCATTGCAATGAGTATTATTTACAATATAGTGTTCTCTTGTGAGGAGTGAAAGACAAGATGTGTGTAATTTTAAAAGAGTAAAAGGATGCTCATAAGTGTCATCAAATGGAGCGTCACTATTCGTAATTTTAACTGTCATTCGCCCCAAATTGAGAAAAATATGGAAGAATAGGAGAAAAGGGCAGGATGCGAATCACTTCTTAAAGTGATGCTTACATGTAAATTTGGGTAGAAGTTAATGAAATTCATAAAGAGCCTTCTAATGGGAAGAGGATATTTATAGGAAGAAATAGTAATTTTCAATTACTTGATAACTATGATTGATAGAAACATATAAATAAGGGAGAAACTGACTTCATAACTATGTTGCCAATACATAAGCTATTTGCACATCCTATTTAAGAGCTCTAGCGGTATTAGAGGTACATGTAGTTGAAGTAACTACTAACAAGAAATATTAAGCCTTATGACGCTTTTGTTTCTTTTCTTAAATTATAAGAGGTTGAGAGTGTGTACATATGAAGAAAACGTGTAGCACTTTGTATATGCAATAGTGATCGTCTAATAAGCCAAATTTTCCTGAGGAAATCGTACCAATAGTATAAATAATAAGAAGTATATGGAACAATGCAAGGAAAGAAATGTTTAT